TTTATTTCCCAAATATCGATTGAGTAATTTTATTCGGATCCTTTGTACATTATGGAACATACTTTTGACAATATATGGTAATTTTTTCATGCAGAAATATTGAAGCATAAGCCGGTAACAACTTCAACCAAAACCTCTTGAAAAAAAAAACACTTTGAACACCCCGTAACTATTCTGGAAATTACTCGAAAATAAAAAACCATGAAAAATTAGTTAAATTTTAATCAAAACTTCCCCCCAAAGTCCTCTGGTAATTTTTGATGGGCGATAGGGGAAGGTATATTATGTGTCAAAAATGTGTACAAAGTTTGAAATGAATCGGTTAAATAGTTTTGAAATGAACACGGACTTTGAACAAGTAGTTTTGACGAAAACTCGTCTAAATTTTATAAACTAAAAACGTGACGAAATAAATTACCCTATATTGTCTAAAGTGTGCTCAATAATGTACAAAAGGTTCGAATAAAATTACTCAATCCATATTTAGGAAATAAATTCGCAAAAAAGTAATTTTTTTATCATGAAAACGATATAAACGAAAACAAAGAAATTTCTTTTAAAATAGGCGTGAAATAATATCCACGGTAAACCCGTGAAAGGCGATATAGGCGATTTTTGGGGAGAAAAGGACGTGTTAAAATTTTCAGATCGATATCTCAAAAACTGAGGAACTAGTTTGCGTATATACACAGAGACGGACGGGCATGACTAAATTGACTCAGCCGGTCAGTTGATCTCCAACTTAGTAATGTGTTCAGGACATAATTGAAACAATAGAAATCTAGTGCATTCAATGCAATATACAATTTTTTTGTTGTTTGTATGAATATTTGTGATCAGAAAAGTAATAGCAGTTTTTATTCAAACTTCAAAGGGAATATACAAGTTGAGTCATATAGTTGTGTTTCGATATTTTCTTGACGTTTCTATAATACAGGTAATTAGTTATATAACCAGTAAGCTTAGTTATAGTTAAAATTTGCCAAATCTTAATATGTGCAATATTTGGAATTTGGTATATGGTAATGAGCGATGTCAGTCCCATATTACAATTGAACTGATGAGCAAGTAAATTCAAAAAATTCGTTTTTGTCACAAGTCTTTTTAAGTTGATAAAAATATCCATATTTAATTTTAGTTTTAATTGGTTCTATCCATAGCTAAATATTCATTACATATACCTCGAAACGTATATTGCCGGCTGTATATGAATCTATTTATAAGAATAATTTTTGTACATTTCGAAATGTAACAGAGTTATGCTTTTGCTTAAACTGTTGCTTTACATGCAGTACTGATATTATTGGGCAAT